ATCATGGCTATTTCGGTCTTCCCTGGTACCGGTGAGCACTTGACCATAGTTAGTCAGGACCGAAGGCTGTGTTGGTTCGATAACGAGCTTGGCAACAAGCCTTGGAAGACCTGGCGGTAGGCCTCCCGTAATGTTCCTTATTACACTGTTCTGATGGTAGGTACCACAAACGAGTGGTACGGGATGTTGAGTTTCATCCTTTGGCCGCTGGGAGGCTCCCTCTGATGGCTACTTGTTCTGATGATGGCAGTGCTCATATATTCCACGCGAAGGTGTAAGTCAGCAGCATGCATGTGCCTACCGAATCGGAATTGTGTCACCGTTGTCCCCTTTTTGTGTTACTGCATTGTCGTTTGAAGGTACAATGATGCTATGTCGAATCCGCTGGTAGTGCCAGTGAAGAAGCTACGCCCTAAGGATGGTGGCCGAATCCTATCTTGTTCGTGGCACCCTCATCAACCTTGGGTCCTCCTCACGATGGGAGATGGCCGTGTCCAGCTGTGGGTTTGAGCTGAAGTGGTTTACAGTGGCCCTCACTAAGATGTACCTTAAGAACTGTCCAAACGTTTCTCTACCAACATTACACGTTATTATTAGTCTTCGTGGGGATTTGTGTTTATTGGTGTTGTTGCCTTTACTACAGGAATGTCGTAGTCTGTTATGGGATTGCGTGCTAGCAGTGATGAAGCTCTAGCTACCTCTTGTGTGCTGGAGACAAATAGTATTTCTCGAAGTTACTACTTTTCCTTCGTGTTTCTATTCATGCAGCTCTTCAAATCACTCGCTGTAAGTACCGTGTACTTGATCGCCCTTTCTGGGGTTGCTGCTGCTGACAACAGTACTGTCGTAACGACATCTGCTGGCAACAGCAGCGCGGCGCCCTCTGGTCCTGCTGTGACTACTGCTCCGTCGCAAGGAAGCTCCCCTAATGGTCCTACGTCTTCGCCCTCCAATGGCACTACTGGTGGTGACAACAACGGTACTCAGACTGGTACGACACCTGTGCCTGCTGGTGAAGTTCCTGCATGCCCTACTGGTTGGTGTCTCGACTATCAGTTCAATCCTGGTAACAACACATGCATTACGCCCGATCCTGTCACACTGATGGACTGCTGGGAGGATTACTGTGCTCAGATTGAGCCTGGTGGATACTGTCTCGTCTGGGAGCCTGATAGCGGTCGTGTGTGCCATGGTGGTATGAAGAAGTGCTATTGTTCGGATTATCAGACGGAGACTGTGAAACACTACTATCCCGATCAAATGCCTGATGGATGGTCAGCGGCTCAGCAATGTGTGTATGAGGGAGCTACTGGCACTACTAGGGCTCCGGCTCCTCCCCCGGTTGTTCCTGCCTCTAGCAGTGTTAGAACCGCGGTTTCAGTTGCAGGTGGCGCGGCTCTCGGAACCCTTGTTATTGGTAACGTTCTCTGAAGTATTATCGGTTTCTCCTAGTTATGTACTGCTACTATCAATTGACAGTAGTATGTATGTCTGTTATTCTAGTTACTATACGGTGATCTGCGACTATATTCCAAGTGTTTTGTATAACACTACTTCATGCCTGTCTCCGAATGTGTAAAGATAGAAGCATTATCACCATCATTATCGTCCTCGACGAACTCAGAAGCATCTCGTCGTGAGGAAAAGACTAACAGGGTATCAAATACTGCTAAGGTGTTTTGTTCACCCGAGTCCAACTTTGGTTGGTCAATGTAAACGGCGGTGAGCTCCTGTCTTTGCGGATCAGGAAAGAGGTT